AAATGGATTTCTTTAAAAACTCAAAGCGCTGCTGTTTCTTTGATTGGTGCATCTTATTGTTACCTCTCCTTATTCTTTTCATATCACTTTTTCAGTTCACAGAAAACACCGGATGATTTGATAGATCGAATGAATTCGACGCCTTCCCGCGGAGCCCACCAAAAGAAGTCTTTAAAAAACTGCACCGAAATGAAGGAAAAAACTTCCTTCAGGAGATGAGAAGCGATGAATTAAATTTCAGCCGGAGATAGAGACGGAGCGAGGCAGGAGAAAAACACTCTCCCCTCCGCCTACGCCGGCTGAATACCGCCATGAGGTGGTCATTGCTCCTTTCACAGCCTCCTGATTATTCCGAGCCGCCGCCGCCGCCGCCGCCGCCGCCGCCGCGCTTTATTTAAGTCCAAATCCCACTTCTGCTCAAAAGATCCTTTAAGCTGAAATTTCCGAGACATTATAATGAGTGTCCAGAAGGGCTGTAAAAATGAAGTTTGTGCCGACTAATAGGCGGCTATTTTCTGCCCCTCGCCGCGGTTATGAATAATGTATCGACCCCAAATAAATAGCGTCCCTGTTGGTGTCACCTCTTATCGAGGAAGTCTGGACCGGAGCAGGCGGCAAGACGGGGAGGACGACGAGGATTGGGTATCAATCAGACACACACACACACACACACACACACACACACACACACACATACACACACACACACAAGTTTCTTTCAGTCTATTGGCTGATTTATTGATTCTGATGAAGGCAACTGGACCAGTCCGACCGAGCTGGCTCCTGTCAATCGGTGTCATTTCAGCAGGCAATTACTGAAGGACCGCTGAATCCTTCTCTGACACACACACACACTTGAAACAACGATGGATGACACACTACACACACACACACTTAAAACAACGATGGATGACACACTACACACACCTGCTCGTTTCAGACGTATTTAACTTATTGCTGCTATTTTACACAGATTGTTAAAGCGAGGCCACATCCAGGTGGGTGTCTGACATGTCACTTGTTCCAGCAGGAAGGAAAAATAAAAAATAAAAAATCTTTGTCATTTCTTTTCATCTGATGCCACTCTTTGGGTTAATTTGCCATCTGCTCAGACCTGCGTAGGAGGCGGATTATGTCTTTTTTGGTTGGCACGGAGAGCAGGAGGTGAAAAAACAGAAGCTTCTCACGCTGAAGAGATGTCAAAAGTTTTTAAAATATGAGGCCAGGAGGTTAAAAAAGAAGTTTTCTCTCTTCAAGCTGTTAAACATCCATCCATCCATCTATTATCCATCCATCCATCCATCCATCTATTATCCATCCATCCATCCATCCATCTATTATCCATCCATCCATCCATCCATCCATCCATCATCTCTACACCTTAATCCTCACCAGGGTCATGGGCGGCTGGAGTCTATCCCAGCTGACTCAGGGTGAAGGCAGGTTCACCTGGACAGGTAACCAGTCTATCACAGGGCTACACTTAGAGACAGACAACCAAGCACACTCACATTCACACCTACGGACAATTTACAATCACCAATTAACCTCAACATGTTTCTGGACTGTGGGAGGAACCCGGAGAGAACCCACGGGGAGAACATGGAGACTCTTCTAGCTGTGAGGCGACGGCTCTAACCACTGATCCACCGTGCAGCTCACTATTTAACATGTTGCGTTCGAATATTCAGATGCAGAAGCTGCTCAGTAAACATCTGTTCAGGTTCCTCTCATGGTGAAGCATGGACAGGCTGTGATGGTAGAATGAGGACCTGTGCTTCACTTCTTTGTAGCTGGCATCAGATTAGTTTGTTCTCCTGCACCTGAATGAGGCACGACTTTCATCCAGATACCAGCCGATGAAGGCATAAAGGCCACTAAATACATCTTCATTAATCACTATCAGACACACGAGCTGCTTCTTTCTATGTTATTATTACTACCAGCAGCATCAAAAAGAGAAGAGAAGAAGGATCATGGCTGGATGTTAATGAAGAACCACAGAACGGCTCAAAGCTCCTGGATGAACTCAAACTTTTAATTAAACTTGTTATTTTTGGAGAAATCCGCGATTGTTTCCGACGCCTTTGTCCTTCCATTGTGCCGAAGCCTCTCCGTCAAACGGTGCATTGATCTCATTCAGACGTCAATCGTAACGACGCGTCCGGCGCCATCTGCAAAATTCAAATCAAGCCAGTCACGATTTGTTTGGCTGCGGCAGTCGATACTCTTTCACTCGTGACTCTTGTTGCCAGCGTTTTTTAATCTTCTTATAAACCAATTTGGGAGGCGCGACTAAACGAGACCTCAGCGTGAACCGTGAGGCGGCGCCGTCCTGTCACAACGCCGCCACATAATAATGTCACACGAGATCAAAGCGGAATAATATCGGAGGAGGGAACAGATTTCACTATATCTTCATTCTGCTCGAGCCACAGCAGCTATTGATTTTAGTGTTGAGAGGCATCATTGCCCGGCCTATCCAGGCATGAAAACGGGGGCTCTTAGAGGAGAATAAACAGTGATAATCCACATTTAAGCAGCTTAATGTGAGGTGCTATACTCCTGGTGATTAATGTGTCTAGAAGGGCTCATCTCTGCATATTGGGTCTCATTCATCAAACCATAAAATAACACATTTATAAGGGAAGCATTTTTTTTGTTTGTTTGTTTGAAAAGCAATTTAAATGAGTGTAGCCAAAAGAGCAACATCTAAGCCCCTGGGCTGTATCACTGAAAAGCAATTTTTGCTTTATTGAAAATGTTTTGTCCTTGGCATTTCAGAATCGTCGGATCTTTGAGCGGCCAGAGAGGCTGAGCTGGTCATCAGAGGACTGCGTTTCCATGCAGTTTGCTCGGTCAGCTCATACTTCCACACACCGAGGCGTCATCCAGAGCTTCAGCTCCATCGCAGCACATCTGGTTTTAATGAAGACGGTGAAAGCAGGACGTCACAATGCACAGATGTTATTTATTTAACGTGTCTTCATGCATTTCAGTGGCTTCTTGGGTTCATCTTTTAACATCCTGATGAGTGTTTTAGTAGGAAAACTGCTTCTCGCTGTTTCTCTGCCTGCAATGACTGGAGCATGAAGACTGGAGGGGTCAAACCACAAAACATCCAAAGTTGTTCTGATCAGTGCTTCTGGTCGACTAGTTGGTGGAAAAGTGCTCCAACCAGCAGCCCACTGGTGGTGTCACGATGCCACTCTGAAGTTTGGCCCGTGATGAAAATTTAGCAGCAAACTGGACCAAGCCACAGGAACCGCTGACCGAAGTTCACTTCAAGATGGTGGACAGCGCGACATCAAGCCCCGTGAAAACTCAACTGGTCGGTACGGTAAGGTGAAATAAAACCTTAATGAAGCACCACCAAGCATCTGTTTCTACCCCACGGTCCTCAGAAGCATCTCTAGTTCCTGATGATGTAAACTCTTCAACAAGACAAACCTGGAATCAGTTTGTTTATCAAGAAGCATAAAATGTGGTACGGCTCGCTTTGGCACCAACTGTTCACTTAATAGCAGCAACATAAATGAATTAATTGTAGAGACTGTTGGTGAGGGAGGTGTGGAGCTGCGTTTCTGTTGCATTTATATTATTAACATGTACCACAGGTTATAAGCAGGTCAACCGTTTTTACTCACCTCTAATCACGGCAGGACGAGTCTGATTTGTGCAGTATAACAATTTTAAAATGCCACAAATCACAAAAAGGGGACTTTTTTTGAATTGTTTTTGATTATTGATTGAACAAAAATGAAAAAACCAATGCTTGAAAAATGTCCCTATTTAATTTTTTAATCAGTTTCCATACTTGTCTCCAGACTGCTCGGCGTAAACACACTGCAGCCAAAAGGTCCCAGAAGAGCTCCAATGACTTTATTAGAGTCTGGCTACAAACAGTTTTTAAATTATTTTTGCCAAATTTTAAACAAGAAGTTTAGAATAAACTGATTTTCATCAAATATCACAATTTTAAATGTCACTGGTGTTCCCGCCCGATCACCGCGTCACAGACGAGCCATTTGAAGACAAACCCATAAATCTGATGATCTTGATCTAATTTTGACAGGCTGGCTCTCATTAATGGAGCCACTTAGATGGTTTTTATTTTGCCTTTCAAACCCACTGGGAGGTTTTGAGGTTCAGCAGGTTAAGAAATGTCATCACTGGTTTTTGTGGACTGGTGGTCAGAAAGGTGTTTTACTGAACCTGGGGTCAAAAAAACATGTTCAAGCTGCTTTTAAAGTGAGATGACGTGATCAGGAGCAGGTCAGCTGTAATCAGGAATGCTCCTTTAACCCTCTGGAGAAGACAACAGCTCCTCGTTACACTACAGGAGCAGTGAAACGCGTCTTCTGCAGCTATTTCCTCCAGAAACCCGACGCTCAGGCTGTCAACGCGCTGCTTTCGACCAAAATTGGACGTATAAATCCAGCCCGCTAGCGAAGCAGCTCATGAAGCCGGTCTTTCATAATACACTTTAACATTTTGACGGTGTATTAAAGGGAGTGTTTTTTTCCTTTCGCTTGCAATTTCTCTTGAGGAGCCGCTCGGTGGGCAACAGCAGGAGTCCTGGGCTCCAAATAATACGCTCCCAGGTGTGAATGTGCACAATGTGAGCGTGAAATCTGCTGGAAATAAAAGGCCAAGAGTTCTTATTCAACCACCGCTGATTAAAGGTTAAAGTATCGTCAGCGTTTAGGTCCGACGGCGGGTAATATGGATGACAATATACAGAGGAGGAATGATGAAATGTTATTGCCTCTCACTGTTGCCCTCGTGCTGCCTGGTGCTCCCCAGCAGTGCATCGCTCTGTAGCCAACACTAATTATAAAGCCGAGCCATCGATCGCCTCTGCAGCGCCACATAATCATAATGCTCTCAGACGGAGATGAAAAATTTCGGAACGAAAACGTCCGAAAAGCGCGAGACAAAAGCGGCGCGATCGATTGGAATGCAAAGGCGGAGAAGGCCCGCGGACAGTGATGCAGTACCTCTGTGGGTTGGGCTCGTTGTGTTTGTCTCTCTCGTGCTTAATCATTCTGTAGCGGCCGATGCGAACGTCCGGCCTGGACACCTTCATCCCGTTCAGCGTGATCCTGCAACACATACAGATGCGATATCTATTAGAGGAAGGAATGGAAGCAAACAGAGGAGGCAAGAGAGACAAGAGGCTGATCACAGGAGGAAGGAATAAAATCACAGAGAAGGAGGAACACAATTTATTATCAGCTACCTTGTTAAATCAGCTGATTGTCTGCAAGTGTGTGTAGTGTATATGCACAAGGTCCAACAGAACTTATGAATTCATCTGCAAATAATTTGGACAAAAAAACATCAGAAACATAAATAAAGCTCATAAATACCTGGTGCTACCCGACAAACCCACAAGTTAGAAGCTCACCGTCACGCACTCACAGAAAAAGCTGCTCACATTTAATAAATGTTTTTTTTTTTTTTTCAGCCTGAGAACAAATTTAAAAAGACGGTTTTATCGGCTAATTGACGTCTTGTTTGTTTCTGGCCGAACGCGGTGAATTTGTAAGAACAGAAAAACAGAGAGAGCAGAATTTCCTGGAGAGAGTTTTTACAGCTTCGCTTGAACAAAAAAAATTAATCAATTAACTGACGAGCAGACAGCCAGAATATAAAAACACAGAATATTGGATTTAAGTCACAGTCGCTGCTCACAGGAATCTTTGTTTTTTCAGTGAACAGAACTCCCTCCTGTGTCGGACGGCGTGAAGCTGAGGCTCCATTTCACCGAAGCGTCGGCTGAACTTTGGAGGATTGGGACTCCGGCTGTCCGTCTTCGGCGCCGAACGTTCAGCGGCGTGAAGCTAAAGGTCATCTCCTCTGTCCAATGGAAAACAGCGCAGCGGTGGGAGTCACCGCAGAAAGCACTTTTCTGATTCGACTAATTAACCTCTGACCCCGAAGACGCCGACCTCGACAGAACGGAGGAGAACCGTGGAGGAGCTCATTTTGTTTCTCTGCGAGCTGCACAGCTCAGTCATTACACTCTGATTGCACTGGGCCTTTCTTTTAACTTCATCAGTGACAGCGGCGATCCAGATCTTAGCAGCTGACCTGCTAGCAGACAGACTCCATGGTGGCACACCTGGTCACACCAGTCAGGAAATATTCAAAAACTCTGCATATTAACACTAAACATGCTTGTGCAGTCCCTCACAGAGCTGCCAGGGCTGCACTCCCCTTAAACACAAGACACAGCGAACAGGACAAACAAACACAAAGCTGCTTTAGCTCTTTGGTAAAACAAAAAGAAAAGAGCACCACAGGCCAGATACCATCGAGAGAGAGAGAGAGGGAAAGAGACAATGATTTACAGTGTGGTTCAGTTTAAACAAAGAAGTTTGCGAGCGAGAGCGGTGATGTTGTATTACCGCTCGGATCCAATACAAGGGCGACTCTGCACAGAGATTTAGATCTAATGCAACAACAAATGGAGTGCAGACGTAAAGCCCGGCTTAAAGCCCCAGGCTGACACGCTGGTTGATATTCATACCTGCAACAACATGAGAGATTGCGTACGTGTGCGCTGAATGAACAATTCTTATTTATCGCAACTTATTCTGGCGGTCTGTTTGTCTAAAGGTGCATCCATGCCTGATATTAGTCCTGAACACTGTCTAACTGTCTCTGGACTCCCCTCGTTTCTCTTCTTCTACCTCATCAAGCCTCCCTCGTCTCTCCTCTGTTTATTTCTCTCGTCTCCACTTCTTTTCTTTCTGAAGGTTTCTGCAGCATCCTGAAGGTTAAAGGCGGCACCTTGAGCTGACGTAACACATCGAGGCTTCGTGTTTTCTTGGAAAGGTGGGAAAGTCTCTGCAAATGCTCTCGACAATAACGAAAGTATTTCAGGTGAAGGACGGGTTCATGGTGAACAAACACGGCTGAACAGTTAATTTAACTCCATGCGGTTGTTTTAATAAAGACTCACTCTCATGTTTCACTGTTATGTGGATCTTTCTTCTTCTTTTTTAACATTTAAGGAAACATTTTAGGGAATGATTGAGTGATCTGGACAGAATCAGAGGGTTTACCTTAAGTTCAGAGCAGAACAAATGGCTACCAGCACCAAGAGGTCACCAGTTCAGACACTTCTAGCGAACAGGCCGGTCCCATATTAAAGGTTTGGTACCTTTGGTCCCTGCTGCCGCATCTCAAGGTCGCCTTTCTCCATTTCTTTTTAGGATGTTGGGTAAATAGATGTTTTTTTAAAAAAGTACAGAGAATGGGTTTAAAAGCAGGCAAGGAGTTCTTAAACTGGTCCACAGCTTCTTCCAGGATTTTCTTCAGACCAGGACACCGATGGCACCGACCACATCCCTCCACTGAAAACCTGAAGCATCTCTGTGGCATGTGGTGATGCTGCCATCCTCGCCTCCCTGGTCTCCACCACACACTTCTCCACCCACAGTCACAGGTTGGTGGTTCAGAGGATCAAACCAAGTCAGAGTGAGTCTGGTGACGTCTTCATCTTTGTCCTTTTAAGATACAGCACGTTAGCTTTAGAGTTTCAGAGGCGTCAGTAGGTGCACTTCAAGAGGCAAACTGGTTCCTCTGCTTCCAGACTTTATGCTACGCTAAGCTAACTGCCGCCTGGCTCCACATTTACAGTGCAGACATGAGAATGCCCATGACAGCTGCTTCTATGACTTTCAGTCTTTATGCTAAGCTAAGCTAACTGGTGCAGAAATGAGAATGCCCATGACAGCTGCTTCCATGACTTCCAGTCTTTATGCTAGGCTAAGCTAAGCTAACTAGTGCAGAAATGAGAACGCCCATGACAACATGCTTCCTTTACTTCCAGGCTTTATGCTTCTGGACTTTTTGTGGCAAACTGGATGGAAAAAAGCCAAACATGTGAAATGAATTTGCAAAAAAGTTGTTTTTTTTTATGGGATTGCAAGTGAGTGACCATTTTATAGTTATTAGTGTTTGTTAACTAAACCATTTAATGTACAGGCTTAGTTTAATGTTTTCATTATTTTTATTCACTTCATTCGTTACTACAAATATTACTAATAATGCACGTATAGCTTTGATGATGCTGCATCTCTCCTGAGCTGGAAACAGTGGTTTTACTGCAGGAACTGTGCAGAAGGAAACATTTGGGTCAGTGAGGCTACGTGAGATCATAGCAACCAGTCAGAAGATTAAAATAATCAATGAAGTCAACCGCGGTGCCACCGGCGTGATCTGAGCTCAGCATCTCGTTCAATGATCCTGCTGCTGTTTGATGAAGTCACATAAAAGAAGAAATCTAACCTCATGACGCTGGACGGTCTCTGAGAGAAACAGGGAGAGACATGAAGTGTTCTCACAGAGTGGTCAAGAGTGACTTGGAGTCGATTGCCGAGACTGGTTCTGAGAAAATGAACCAAGGAAGAGGCAGGAAACGAAAGCTGAAGCAGACTTTAAGTCCCAGAGACAGAAGGAAGACCACTGCTGGTCTTCAGCCAGAGATGAATGCTTCTAGATCAGAGTCCGAGAAAGTCTCCAGAGTGAGCACAAGAGACGACTGATGGAACAAGACGACTGGTGGAACAAGACGACTGGTGGAACAAGACGAC